TAGACTTGGAGTTCCTCTGAGATTATTAATATTTTATTCTTCAGTACTGACCACAGCAAACACAGTAGGAGCAAAACATGTATCTGTAACCCACACCCATTTATTGAATTTAGAGGCTCAAGTAGAAAAGGGGTGTATTGCAGTCGGGGGAGACCAGTGAGTATGTCTAAATTCAGAGGCAGCATCTGGGCCTACACACCCTCCTTGCCAGTTCCCCAGAAAGCTTTCGCTGGATCTGCCAATCAAGATGTCCAAAACCCGGAGGTGGAGATTGTACACCGGAAGCAGGGTCCAGGGCCATCCATGAATCAACGTGAGGGCTGAATCAGTTTTCCCTAATGACCCTGAGTCTCCTACTCCGATCAACCTGACAGAAGTGTTCATCAGATCAAATAATTTGTTACTGGAGTGGAAATTTATTTTGTGGTTGTTGTGGAAAAAAACCATGAGCAAGCTGTTTTTTTGTTTTGTTTTGTTTTTTAATTTCTTATGAAATAAAATGACCAAATATATATATAAAGTATCTGAAGGCTTTTGCATAGTGTTCTGATATGAAACATTGCTAACAATGCAAAAGTTAAAAGAAATGAAGAAAAAAAGGTTGAGAGGGAAAACATTCCACTGTTTCTGCAAGCTCACACAATTTAGAGAAGTGCCCAACAGGTACTCTGTTACAGTCTATTTATTCTAATTTTAGACATATTTTAAATGGGTGTGGTTTTGGTTACATGGTTTCTCAGGCCTCAGTAAGTCAGAGGTAAGTGGCAAATTAGATAAGAGCCAGAGGCAGGCTCTCTGACACATCAAGAAGTGACAGCTGGCAGCCTGACCAGGAGTAGAGACTGAAAAACCTATAAAAAGCAGCCAGAAGAACTAAAAAAGAATTTAATGCAGGTGCCAGATGACACTCACAGTACAAAAGTTGTGTTTATAATGACAACCCTGAATCATTGAGAGAGGTTAACTATGGACAGGGTATTTCTTTCTAAGACATACATAGTGTAAGATACCTTACAGGACATGGAGAGCATATTTCAGTAGGCTTTCCACTATAATAAGGAAAACAAACAAACAAAACAAAAAACAACCCCACAATGTTGGCACTTGAACACAGAAAGTTCAATGTCTGAACCAGTGTTTCATGGGCACGTGTCATTCTCTGAGGTCAGATACATTAGGCATTACTAAAATGAGAATTTTTTTTTGGTACCAACTTTAAACAAGGTATAGTTTTATACTTGCCCGGAGTTTTCGATATGGAATCACTGAACAAGTGCAAGAAATCTAATTTTAAGACGAATGCCTGACTCCTTTCTAAGAGTATATTTTTATAGTACATGCTGCACATGGTTTTTAGTATGAATCTCACCTTCCTCACAGAAAATATGTGATAGTTTTCCATGTCAGCCCCCTATTACATTCTATGCAAAACTGGAACCTTCATTGGACTTATGCGTGCAGCTGTATGATGATTGTGAACTTCATCAAAACAACACAAAACAGTGGGTGTGCCTCAATATACTGATCTGAGGGGCCAACAGATTTTGTTTTAAGGAAACATATTAGATTGCACTCTGAAGTGAAATACTATTGTCATAATAGTACAGCAGCCTTTTGGCATTCTAATGGGTTTTCATTCATTCAAATGGTCTTAATTCATTCACGAGGGCTCTGCACATTTCTACAAAGTAAAAGGCCTTTGTCTAATTTGCCTAGCCATACCTTCCTAGACCCTCAATTGCCAATCACCTCCCACCGAGAAGTTCAGAATTGACCCTTGACACAGAAACAGGCTGGGCTTCTTTTACATGCATTTGAACAAATCTCAAGTGATGGGCAGTCACCAAAGTTTTGGCCTGCATCACTGGCCACAGAGAACTAAATGAAAAATAGTTTTCACAATGACAGGACTAAATACTGTAAATAGCTATTAAATTATACTTTCTAGTGCCTTAAAAATATGCTTAGCTCTTCTGGGTGGAAAGGCCATTTATCGGTTCATTATAAAATTTGCTGAGAAATAGTGTATGTAAACTTGACTTGTAAAATACTGTACGTAAGAAGGATTGTTGACTCGAGATTCATATTTGTTTTAAATTGAATAATCCCAGGCTATAAAGAAATTTGGCTAAAATTTCACCATTGCAGGGATATATATATATACATTTGGATTAAACTAACCTATAATATCTAGTCGAACCCCAAGGCTTTTTTATTATATGAAAGTTATACAAATGTTGGAACATTTTATCATTCTGGGTTTCTAATTATCATCTCACCTGTTCCTGTAGTTTATTCATGACATTTTGTGAATACTGCCCAAATTCAATTTATTTGGTTCAAGATGCATACAGTGCTGGGTTTGCTGACAAGGGGGATACAACCTGTCTGACCCCGAAAGCTGGTTCCAAGCAGGTGTGTGACTTTGGGAGACATCCGATACCTCTGGGCTTCCCTTCCCTCACGTTATAAATACAGGGAGCTGGACAGACTCATCTCTGAGGTTCCTTCCGGCTCCCCTTTCTATGACTTGCAGTTCTGTTGTCATCAAGTCAGCAGAGGGAGCACTCTTTCTGCCTCTCATCAATTTTGACTCTTCTTTCCACACCTTTCAACCATCAAGGGGCTGGTGGTGAGCATTACTGAAACTAAACATTGACAGCCCACCACCCCGTTGGTATCAGATCACAAGTTTGACTATTAATCTGAGGAAAACCTAGAAATGACTTCCGTCATTTGAATTCCAGGAGGAAGTCCCACAAGAGAATTAGTTTATAAAGGGTAAGGAGCTCCCATACACTGAGTAATGCAGCATCCCTACGTGGTAGCATTATTTATACAGGTCCCAGCTAAAGAGATACATGCCAGGTCTTTACAACAGAGGCCATCTGGTGTCAGAGATGAGAAAAGTGAAAAAATTCACCAATCCTAAAAAAAACATTAGCGAGTTGGGGCTGACATAAACAAACCACACAAGTTATTGGTAGTTGTTTCTTTTGCACTTTTCATTGAGATACATTGGGAACAAGCAGGTAAACACAGCCAGAGCCTGTAGGCTCGCAAGAGATTGGAAACGTGTGATATCATGCCAATGACAAAGTTGTATATTTGAGAAACGGGATGACTCTCATCCCTGTAGTCATAGACATTTCAAAATCAATAGAGCATCCATTATGCCTTTTTAAATTATTAGACAATCTCACATTGCATATTAAAGTTTTTATTCCTTGGTAAGAATTTTAAGATCACAAAATAGTGTGGCAATATTTACGTAATAGAATTTATGGAGTGCTGAAAATACTAGAATATCAAGGTAACTTGTAGTTTATCTTCACATACTAAATTTTTTCTAAACCAGCTGGTTTCTTGCAGACAGCATTTATTTTTTTAAAATAATTTAAGATAGCATAAGCTTGTACCAAGCATAAGCATTGTAACAAAAGTGCAACTTTTCGGCAAATCCTCCCCAAGAGATATTTTAACTCAAAATATCATTAGCACATATTTTCTCCCTACAAAAATAGCATGTCAGACATCATTAATTGAATATATTAACAACTATGTACATAAGAGCCACCTTGTAGGCTAAGAGTTTAACGTTGTTTAAACACAGCGTTTGAGGCAAACAGTAGCAACAGCAGCAGCAAATGCACCGAACTGACTAAAAGACCCAGATATTTTCTTCACTCACAGTCAGACTGTTGTGTCTCACCCCTTACATAACATTCAAGTGAGATTTCTCACAGTGCTACCTTGGCAACAAACTAAAAATATCTAGACAAGGTCTTGGTTTAAGCCTTATTAAAAAAAAAAAAAAAAAAGAAAAGAAAAAAGAAAAAAAAAAGCTTTCTTTGTGATTATCTGGTATCTGGTTTGGTCTCCAGAAAAATACATAGACTTGGAGATAGGAAGGCCTCACAGGACTTCATTCAAATCTTGACAGCATTTCCAATGAAAACGGGCTAGTTTAATGCTTTCCTCCACTTCTGTGGTCTAACAGAATAAAGGACAAAGCATTATGGACTTTTTGTATGTTTTTTAGATTCAGTGCACATTCCTTTTTTTTTTTTTTTTTTTTTTTAAACAGGAAGATTATAAAAATTTAGGAAAAGGATGGATGAAATAATGGCAGGGTGGGAATAGATGCTCTCTCTCACTCTATGCAAGCATTTATATAATGAAGATGGGTCAACTGACTCATGGTCAGTTTCTTAAAGTGCCAGCGAGTGCACTAAGGATGATTCTGGCCTTCCTCACCCAGGTGCTTCCCTGACTTAAGTTCTGACAATGGCCCAAACTCCGCGTCTGTTTAAAACAAGTGCAAATCACTAAGGGATAGCATTCAAACCGCTTCAGAATAGGTTGCGGACGTGAGCAACTGCATCCTCTCCTCTTCCCTCTTTGAAAAAATAACGTCTCTGAAAAAGCTACACATTACAAAATACTGAAGAGTAAAACTCAACGCTAAGAGATTATCCCTCTGTTTGCGGAAAGCCTCCTGAAGCAGCCAGGACAGCTTTGAGTCACTGACAGATAACTCTGCGGTTCCACGTCAGCTCCTTGGCCACCGTCACCCCCACCCCCACCCCTTCCCCTCCCACCCTGGTTCCATGGGCTCACCGCAGAGCATTCCCTTCTGACTTCCTAGAGAATCAGGGGTCTGCATTTTAAAAGAAAATGAAACAGGCCTAAAGGCAGGCAAAACTTTTTTTTTTTTTGGGGGGGGGGGGAGTTCTTTTTTAAAAAAAAAAAAAGAGAGAGAGAGAGACTATCAAGCGAAGAGGTCCTTTTGCAGCTAGCTGGTGGGGAAGAGACGTTAGTGTGCTGGAGGGTGGGGTGGTGGAAGAGGAGCAAAACAGGAACCCCCAATGCACACAACACACCTGTTTGTTTTTTAAAGCCTGGCGTGCATCTATGACACCTCCTCCCTTAAACAACCTATAGGGTGTGTTTTAACGTATTCATATCATTCTTCCAAGCGAACCCTGGAGCGCCAGGCCTCAGGGGGCTTTCTTTCCTGGCTGCGAGGCATCTTCCTGAGCAGAGCTCTCCGGCTTCCCGTGCTCGCGGGGGCCGGCGAAGGGCAGGTGGGTGCGGCCGTGCGGGTGCGGGGGGTGCAGCGCCCCCGGGGGTGCCACCTCGTGCGGCGGCAGCAGGGTGGCGGCGGCGGCGCCAGCCTTCTCGGGAGGGGGCGACAGCACGGAGGACAGGCAGGGGAAGGCGGCGGCGGCGGCGGCGGCTGCGGCGGCGGCGGCGGCGGCCGGGGTGTGGATGCCGGGGTACAGCAGCGGGAACGGGGCGGCGGGGTACAGGTACTTGTCCAGGCCGCTCTTGTCCAGGAAGGGCTGCATGTAGGCGGCGGCGGCGGCCGAGGGCGAGAGGAAGTAGAAGGGCAGGCAGAAGGGGGCGGCGGCCGCGGCCGCGGGCTGCGCGAAGGGCGCGCCCCCGCCTCCGCCGAAGGCCACCAGCGAGCTGAGCAGCGCGGCGTCGGGTCTCAGCAGCGCGGCGGCCGCGGCGGCGGCGGCGGCGGCGGGGTCGGGCCCCAGGAGCGCGGTGGCCGCGGCCGCCGCCCCGCCCCCGGCGGCGTCCAGCTTCATCCTCTTGGGCGCGGGCGAGTCCTCGCCGGGGGGCTCCTGCTTGATGGCGACGCGGCTCGCCCCCGCGCCCTGGCCCCGCTCGCGGTCGGGCCGGGCCTCGGCCTCGCCGCCGTAGCCGCTGTCGGTGTCCGTGTCGTTCTCGGCCGCGAGCTCGGCGGCGCCGGGCTGAGTCCGCTGGATGACGGGCACGCAGTGGGCCGGGGGCTCCAGCTTCTGGCCCGCGCGCTCCGGGCCGGGGGCGGCGGCCTTGGCCCCGGCAGCGGCGGGGGCGGCCGAGGGCGCGCCGGGGCCCTTGCCCAGGGGGACCTGTTGCGCCAGCAGCGGCGGGGCGGGCAGGAACTGGGTGGCCACGGCGTGCAAGTGGTTGATGAGCTGCACGCACCGCGGCTCCCTGGGCGTCCAGCTCTCAAAGCGGGAGAGGTATTGCAAGACTTCTTTGGCGCATGTTTGAAATCCCGAGTGGAACGCGTCCAAGTCGGACTGAATGGGCGATTTCAGAGATCGCTCCCCTAGGATGAGGAGGAGGGGGATGGAGTGGGGTGGGGGTGGGGGGGGACGGGAATGGAGGCGAGAAGAAGAAAAAAAAAATACACCGACGTGAAAACATCTGCTTATCACGTGGGCCCTGCACTGACTAAAGGGATCTTGCTTTCCCCCCTGTATTCCAGTGATATAATCCACCAGTTGCAGAGGAGGAGGGGAGAGGGAGGGAAACGGTGGCGGGGGTGGGGACCAGGGGGGCGCTCTACTCCCAGCTGAAAAACCCCAGTGGAGAGGGTGCGATCGCCACTTAATTTTTTTTTTAAATTCCTCTGAGTTCTGCTGAAAGCCTCTAGGATGCTTCAGGAAATGGGCACTTTCCAATGAAGGGAAAGTCTAAGCCATTTCACAAATGAGAGTGAGCTCGTGGGCCCGCGGAAGGAGGTGGGGGTGGGGAGAGAGAGTCCTAACACTGCTCCTCTGTGGGCTGCCCGGTTTCCTGGGGTGGATTGGCCTCCCTGAACGGACTTACCATTCTGTAAAGCAATTATCTTCTGATGCTGCTGCTCCGTTAAGGCTGTTAAAGCTTTTAAGTGTTTCAAAGTTAATTCCAAGACTACCGCTTTCTCCAGATGCCCCAGAGTCTGCGTTGGTGCAAGAGAGAGAATGGGGCACTTGGTGACTTAAAGCACATTTGGCTTGACCGGCTCCCCATTCAGCACAAGCAAACACTTACTATTCCTATACTTCTTGAGCTTTCCACAAGACAGGTTATAGATGATCCCCCCCTTCAGTTATGAGCACTTACTCCCGAGTTTATGGGAAACTATACACTATAGCATAACTTGGAAGGCATCTGATATTTACATTTATTCTTATATCTCTGGGAGTAGTGAGGACCAGGCTATATTCACAAGCCCTTGGAGAGCAGCAAAGGAGGAAAATGTGCATCTTACTGTCAACTTCAGATGTTCAGGCAGTAAATCTTTCAGCTGAGCAATGCATTCATTAATCCGGTCTCTTCTCTTCTTTTCTATCAATCTATGCGGTAATTTATAGGTATCCTTAATAGGTGCGAGTCATGGAAGAGAGAAAACACTAAGATAAACATGTATTTACTAGGTATAGCAATATTCCCCCACCACCCAAAACACACACTGTGTGATCAACTATGCCCAAAGAAACCTCTTTCCCCTGGACTGCTCTGAAATGAAATTTAAATTCAGGTATGATGTTCAAGCTCCCCCTGAGAGTATCCAGCAAACCACTTAAAATTCACAGTCCAGGAAGCTCTAGGGCTGGAATGTATTTGCCGGCAGAGATTCGCCGCCTTGAAATCAATGGCCCTAATTAACTATCCAGGCAGGTTATAAGGGAACATCGGAAACTTCCTCTTACCTTGCTATCGTCTCGCTTCATGCTCCTTTTGGGTTTACACATATACAAAGAGGAATAGTCCAGGCTGCAAAACAGAAATCAGCATCAGGCACCCATTCGGGAGGGGGCTCTGCCCTCGCCCGCTCCATACCACTTTCTTGAGAAGAAGAAGGAGGAGAAAAAAAAAAAATCAAACGGAAGCCCAGACAAGATAGTCGCAAGGGTGCGTGCACCTTACCCTATAAAATCCCTATGTTCCAGTAACTGTCTCTCTTGCAAACGAGGAATTCCTTCGTCCATGTTCCACCGCTGTCCGTGTTTCCTCTGTTTCGCTTTTTTGGGAGGGAGGAGGGGTCTTGTCCTATGATCGGTGGGACGGTAGCTTGGAGAGATCTTGGGGGGATCTGCGCGTCTCCAGTCTCTCCTCTCCCTCTTCAGTGCAGGGTTGAAAGTGTGAAGCGGTCGGTCCCCCCTGCCGCCGCGCTCGCCCTGCTGCACACAGACGCATACACTCGCACCCGCACTCCCGCCGGCCCCTCGGCGCTGCTGGTAGTTTGCTCTCACTCCGGGCAGTGTTTGGCCACAGGGCACGCGCGTCGCCGGCCAGACCAGCACCCGGCTCACGTGCGGAACGTACCATCCGCGGTCTGGCCCGGAGGGGGGCGGGAGGGGAGGGGCCGGGCCGGGAGGGGGCGTCGGGAGAAGTCTGCGAGGGAGAGCGAGCGGCGGGAGGGCGGGAGGGAGGGAGGGAGGGGGGCGGGGACACCTGATCAGGGCCACCGGAAAGGAAAAACAACTTCAGCCAAGCTATTCATCTTCCCAAAGGCGCTGCAGTCAGCTGGGAGAGGAAGAGGGGTGCCGCGGGGGGGGGTGTGGGGGGGTGCGGGGCAGCCAGGGCTTCCTCGGCTCGGAAATGTGACTCCCTCAGTCCTTCCGTCATTACGGTGCGGGAACAGGAACGTGAACGTGGCTTTTTTTGCTTTGCCACCGACTGTGCTTGTTGGTTTGGACCAGAGAGAGGAAAGAGAAAGAGAATTCGCGGTGGGTAAACTTCAGTCCAGAAGGAAATTTTGGGAGACTTGTTTGCACACCGTTCAGTGGCCTGGGGGGGTGGGGGGTGGGGGGTGGAGGGACCCTTTGGCCTTGACAAGAGACAACTTGAAACCCTCTCCCATAAAGACTTGAAGAGAAATCAGAATGTGCCTGGGTCTGAATGTCGCAATCCAAAAGAGTCTTTTGGCGACAGCGTCCCTGGGCCACCCAAACTTCCCGCAGCCGCCGGAATTGCGGTGCCACTAATCGCAGCAGCGGATGACGCTCGGGGCCTCCGGAGCTCCCGGAGGAGCGCGGAAGGGAGGGAGGGAGAGAGGGAGGGAGGGAGAGAAAGAGGGAGGGAGGGAGGGAGAGGAGAAGAGGGGGTGGCATGAGAGGGGCTGCCGCGGAGAAGCTCTGCAGCAGTATCTCGCCCGCTCAACTCCGCCGCCCCTCCGCGCCCGGGAGGCGCTGCGCGCTTCCTCTCCCCTCCTCTCCCCCCTCGTGCGATAAGCGGCGCCGGGAGCGTGCGGAGCCCACGTTTACTACCGCTGGCACCTCCGAAGCCTCCCTCCTTAATCCCGTCTCCAACGGGGACCAGCACAGGGCCAGCAACGTGATCCGACCTGCCGCCGCGGCTGCCACATCACTGCGCGGGGAACCCGGGGCGCGCGCGCGCGCCCGAGGGCAGGCGGGCGGGCGCGCTCCCTGCTCCCCCTGCAGCCCGGGCGACTCCGAGAGGAAGCGCGAGCCAGCGGGAGCCGGGCTTACCTCCACCCCCCCCCCCTCCCCGGCCCAGCCCCGGAACGTGACTCAGTGCCAGTGAGAGTTCCCGGGAGGTGCGGGAGATGTGCACCGACCCTGGCCAGCGGCAAAGGGCCTTGGAGGCCAAGGGCAAGCAGATCCTGCGGGAATCCCAGGTCTCCCGCCCCAAGGTCTGCGGGAGCGGGATGGATATGGATGTGGATAGATCTAAAACCAAAGATGTATATGGATAGATCTAAGACCAAAGGTCTCTCCTCTCTGTGCCCACATTCAACCGGGTGTCCCCCCCGACACAGTCGTTATTGCCAGCGGCACGTGAACCGAGAGAAGGACGCCGAATGCACACGCACCCGGGCGCGGCGGGGGCTGGGGCTGTCAACGACGCGTCCCTCGGCTCGCCCCGCGGGGCGCGGGTTCCGGGGACAGATCTGGGTCGCGGGGAGCGGCGGCGGGGCGGTCACGTGTCTGCGGGAGTCGCGTCTCCTCCCGGCCTCCCTCCCGGAGCCGCCCGCCGGGCCGCGGTGCGCGCCGCCGCTGCAGTCTCCGGAGTCCGGGGCGGGGACGCGCGCCGTGTCTGGCTCCGTGACTCCGGCGGCGGCCCAAGCTCACCCCGGCGGGCGGGAGGAGACGCTCGCGGCCCGTCCACTGTAGAGGGCCTTTTAAGGTCGCTCGACTTCCTCCAATAGGGGGACTGACTTTGCACCAACAGACAATTTAATAATACTTAAAAAAGTATTTAAAAAAATTTATGTTAAACCTCAATCTAGCCTTTCTCTTGTTTCCCAGGGGTTGGGTGACGAATTCCTTTTGGTGGGAAGGGCTGTTTGGAGCCCTAAACGTGGCCTAGCCCTACAGTATTGTATCATTTTGTTCTTCTAAATTGACCAAAAAAAGCCACCGTGATGGGGATGGAAAGAATGCTGTTAAGATGAAAATTGAAAAAAATTAAAATACCAGTTTCCCTTAGAGGTTTGTAAATGGTTGGGGAAGGAAGAGGGTGTAAATGTTTCCTCTGTAGCTAAATTTTCACTAGATGGCTGGAGCATTTAGTGAAAATGCAATCAAGACTGGGTCACTGCATCTGGGCTTTGCTGGGTGGAGTAGACAAGACAGAAGGCAGGCATCTATCTGATCAGTACAGACCTTATGACTAAGTCTGTGGCAGACCCCGGAAGGAGAGATAGAGAAAGAAGCCTCATTGGTTATGGACGTGTTCATTTTTGAAGGGACTTCCCTTGATATGAAATCACAGAGGCCTGTAACTGCAAAGGAATCTTTTTATGTTATCACTTCTATCTCCTTTCCCCCAATCACCTTTGTCCTGGGTTTCCTTGCTTCCATAGCCAACATTTTTGTTTTCTCTTCCAGTCCTTTTCCTGATACCCAGCCCAAACTGTAAATGGAGTCCTTTCTAATTTAAGTAGAATATTTTCTAATGCTCAGTCTTTTTCTGCTGTCTTTCTTTCTCATGTCCATCTTTCTACTCTTGTCTCCCTTTTTCATTCCCCTTATGTTTTTCTCTTCCTACATATCCTGTTAAGATAAATGTCTGCTGTTCCTCTTTCCCTGTAATTTTATTCTATTTGCTTTTTGTCTTATTTTTTTAAAAAAAAAACTTTCACTTTGATGACTCCGTTCTTATTCACTACCCTTAAATTTGAGTCCTATTCATTGTCTTTCTCAAACTCATGCCTTCTGAATATCAGACATAGCATAGTAATGCCTCCAAATGTCCTTTTGCTTCAAGGAGGGCATAACAATAGTTCACAACTAGATAGCATTTGCAATTGGAGCACTAGACACCATTATAGTTAACTCATTAACCCTTTCTACAGCCCTACAAGATAGATATTAGTATTGTCTCCATTCTACAGGTGAGAAAATAGAGAGATAGGGAGGTTACAAAATGTGTCCAAGAACCCAGAGCCATGAATGAAGCCCTGACAGTGGGCTCCTTAGTCTGTGCCTTTAACTATTACCCCCTGTTATGACCAGTGAAGGCCAAGGTCTAAATGTTAACCAGCTATCCAAGAGGTGTTCTTAAATTTATCAGAGTGTGAATGTGCCCATGTGTTGTAATGTTTGTGTGTGTGCACGTGAGCAATTTGGGAGAGAGATGGGGAAGGAAGAAACAGCATTGGAGCTAATAGTAGAGAAAGAAAAAGATATAAGAAAAAGAAGGATGAGAGTCTTTTGTCAATGAATGAGGCACTCGGCACCTAGCTCCAAATTTATTGATTCAATTCCTATTTAATTGTTATAATGTCATATAAAGGGGCAGATGGAAGTACAGTTTAGAAGGCTAATGATGACCAGCTGGTCACCATTTCCACTGAGCAAACCAAGCCAAATTCTAATGTGAAGGCTCAGGTGAGGAATAGGAAAAGTTCACCTGTGGTGAGGTTAGAAAAGGGGGGAAAAAAATCCCCGTCTCACAAAGGAACAGAGGACAGAATACCCTCTCTGGGTATGTCTAAAAGTAGGTTGAGTCTTATCTTTTTAGAAAGGTTTAATACCATCCTACTGAAAGCCAAGGAGATACAAGATGAGCTCAAAGCCTCTTTGAGCCTATAATTAAAGAATTTTGTGATGCCTTGCTTTCAATTAGAGATAACCATCTTTCTCCTTTTAATAGGTGAGAGAGAAGCAGCTTCCATTGCCTTTCTCTGGTTAAGTAGGGAAATCATTGCCTACAGAGACTCGAATGAAAGGGAACACTTATCCCAGTTCTCCCCTCCCTTCCCTCAACCCACCTAAGTGTTCTAAGCCCCACACTCATATTCTTCTAGCGACTTTGCAAAGTCTTATCATGTTTGCTTGCAAAGTCTTGGATTTCCAGTAGAAACAGAACTCTCTTGAGAGGATTCCTTTCCACAGAGAAGAGAGGCTTTCTGCCTCTTTTGGGTTCTGCAAGCCCTTCCGCTGTCCTAGAGGGAGGAGGTGACGAGGGTGTTTTGGGACCCTGGGTCTGATTCGAACTAACTGTGCAGCTCTCGTGGCCTCAGGGGCCCCAGATATGCCTAGGGTGGTAGAGTTTCCAGCCTGTACTGCTGTGAAAATGTCCCATCAAGATGGGCAGATGCCTTTTTTAAAATTACTAAATATTTTTATTGATATCAGAGAGGCAGGGAGAGAGAGATAGAAACATCAATGATGTGAGAAAATCACTGATCAGCTGCATACAGCACACCTCACACTAGGGTCCAAGGCCACACAACCCAGGCATGTGCTCTGACTGGGAATTAAATCATGACCTCTTGGTTCATAGGTCGACACTCAACCACTGAGCCACGCCGGCCCGGCAGCAAATGCCTTTCTTAATCACCTCTTTTTGATGTGGTGGACAAGAATTTATACATAGTCTATATCATTTTCACACAAAAGAGAAATGCACCCCATTAAGTGGAGTTTATAGAAATCTAAAAGAACATTGAGGGTTGACACTAAAATCAAGGTGGGATGCAGAGTGAGGGCTGGACAGAGCGGGATGATGGATCAGGGAT